AACCCCAAGAATTCAATTTTTGTTAAAATCAAACTAAGTTTAATTTTGGACCCTTTGGACCTTAATATAGACCAAATTAAAAAACAGGACCCAAAATTAAAAATCTAAATACACGGTTAGATTTGGCATATCAAAGAACCCCAATAATTCAATTTTTGTTGAAATCAAACAAAGTTTAATTTAGGTCCCTTTTGACCTCAATATGAACCAATTTGATAGCGGGCCCACAAATAAAAAATCTAAATACATGGTTATATTCAGCATATCAAAGAACCCCATGTATTCAATTTTTGTTGAAATCAAACAAAGTTTAATTTTGGACCCCAACTTGAAAACTGGGCCAAAAATCTAAAATCTAAATACATGTTTAGATTCAGCATATCAAAGAACCCCATATATTCAATTTTTGTTGAAATCAAACAAAGTTTAATTTTGGACCCCAACTTGGACCAACTTGAAAACTGGGCCCATAATCAAAAATCTAAACACATGTTTAGATTCAGCATATCAAAGAACCCCAAGAATTCAATTTTTGTTAAAATCAAACTAAGTTTAATTTTGGACCCTTTGGACCTTAATATAGACCAAATTAAAAAACAGGACCCAAAATTAAAAATCTAAATACACGGTTAGATTTGGCATATCAAAGAACCCCAAAAATTCAATTTTTGATGAAATCAAACGAAGTTTAATTTTGGACCCTTTTGACCTCAATATGAACCAATTTGATAGCGGGGTCCACAAATAAAAAATCTAAATACATGGTTAGATTCAGCATATCAAAGAACCCCATCTATTCAATTTTTGTTGAAATCAAACAAAGTTTAATTTTGGACCCCAATTTGGACCAACTTGAAAACTGGGCCAAAAATCAAAAACCTAAATACATGGTTAGATTCAGCATATCAAAGAACCCCATATATTCAATTTTTGTAAAAATCAAACAAAGTTTAATTTTGGACCCTTTGGACCTTAATGTAGACCAATTTGAAAATTGGACCCGAATTCAAAAATCTAAATACACGGTTAGATTTGGCATAACAAATAAATAAATGTGGTCAAAGATTTTACAAATCTAATGCGCCATACTGTGCAATTAAAGATTACTTCTTGAAATTTTTACAATATTTGAAATTTGAAAAAAAAATAATATTTGAAGAATAATTCTTTTTAATTTCTGAAATCTGAAACAAGAAAAAATTGACCCCCCACAATTTCTTTTTACCCCCCCCCCCCCCCCCCACCCCCCCCCCCCCCCCCCCCCCTTTTTCCCCCAAAAAATTCTTTCCCTCAAGATATGGTCATAATCTCAATTCAAATTTCCAATGGAGTTTGCAACCATAATTACCCATTTAAATTTACCATAGTGCTAACTTACCGGTAATCTATTTTATAATAGAATTTAAAATATAGTGTCAAATCTTTCATATGGATTTTTTTGTAAAAAAAAAAGATGCAACATTTGCAGATATTTTTACTGGTCTTCCTTTATAAATATGCATTTCTTTAAACATAATTTAAAAGCAGTGTAAGGGAAGTAACCAAAACGTTGTATTTGGATTACCTCCCTTACACTGTTTTAAATTATCTTAATTGTTCATTAACCATTACTTTATACATAATTTAAAAGCAGTGTAAGGGAGATAATTTCAATGATGTATTTGATTTATCTCCCTTACACTGCTTTAAACTATGTTTTGTACTAAAGTATTTGTCCATTAACCAGGACAACCTTGTTTTTCCCCCTTTTTTGCCCCTAATTCCTAAAGGGTTTGAGCCATAACCCCCCAAAGCAAATCCTAACCATCCCTTTGTGGTATGGAAACTTGTAGTATAATTTCAGAGAGATCCATACACTGTTAAACAGTTATTGTCTGGAAACTAGAAAATGCTTATTTTTGGCCCCTTTTTGGCCCCTAATTCCTTAACTGTTGGTACCATAACCCCCAAAATCAATCCCCACCTTCCTTTTGTGGTATTGAACCTTATGGTAAAATTTCAAAGAGATCCATTCACTTAAACTAAAGTTAGAGTGCGAAAACTAATGTGTCTACGGACGATGACGACGAAGACAACGACGCCAACGTCATACCAATATACGACCGCAAAAATTTTTTGCGGTCGTATAAAAATGATGCACATTCTGTAACTTGAAAAATGTTTTGTGACCCTTACTTTTTATTATATTTTTGAAATATCAAGTTATAAACTACATTTTTGAAAGTTTTACAAAATTCTATCGATTTTGATTAAGACCATTCAATTACCTTAAGGAGTGATGACAACAGTTGGAATAAGTAATTTTCAAATCTAAATGGTTGAGTGAAAGAAAAATATCAGTAATTTATGTTCATATTCATTTCTGACACATAACTTCTTAAAATCTTTCTTTTTTTCAAATATCTTGTTCAGTTAGTTGTTCATTATAAGGTAGCCATGTAGAATTTTATATCAGCACAAAATAAAAGGTCCCAAGAACCATCGTGATGAACATGCATGCAATATTAACCACTGGACGTAATGCAAATAATAATCAATGAATCCTAAGAACCTGCATACTACTATTATTATTGGAGTTATACAGGAAAACATCTGATGTATAAACACAATGGTTGGCTAGGATCTTATTCATGAATATATAAAATGAGCCATGGAGCATACATCAATGAGACATCAACCCATATGCTGTTATTAAAAGACTATCAACATTAAATTTCAAAATGACCCACAAAAAAACCGGAGGATATAGAATAAAATCATCAAAGATACCAGGCTTATATTTGTGTACGCCAGACAAGCATAAAATCTACAAAAGACTCATCAGTGACACTTGAATAATAAAAGAAGAATGTGTCTGAGGACTCAAGCTTTGCTATTTTCCATGTTAATAAAAGAACAGAGTTCCAATGTCCCCCGCATTGCACATATTATATCTATCCAAGGTCAATAAGTTAAAAAAGCACTTTTTTTGTTTGTTCTATAAGACTTTTTATTAATATCTTAGAGAAATGAAGGCTTCAGAGCAAATGCAATGTGATTTCCATTATAATTAATATTTCCAAGGAGCATAACTCTTTAAAAACATTTGATCAGAACTCATTTTCCAAAGTGTCAAAGACATTGCTGATATAATAAGCCTATGATATAAGTTTAATAAAATTCTGGCAAGAATTGAACTTATGAGAGCGCTAACAATGCAATTTTCCATATAATCAATATTTCCAAGGGCATAACTCTTTTAAAAAGAGTTGATCGGCAATGATTTTCAAACTCCTCAAAGACATTGAAGATTTAAACCTATAATATAAATTTCATAAAAATCTGGCAAGAATTGTACATATTAGAGCGCTCATAAGGCAATTTTCCCTATAATTAATATTTCCAAGGAGCTAAAAAATTTTGATCGGCACTTATTTTCGAACTCGTCAAAGACATTGCTGAAATAAACCTTTGATTTAACTTTCTGAAAAATCTGGCAAGAATTGTACACATGAGAGCGCCAACAATGCAATTTTCCATATAATTAATACTTCCAAGGGACATACCTCTTTTACAAATAATTGATCAGCACTGATTTTCGAAATCATCCTAGACATTGCTGATATAAACCTATGATATAAGTTTCATAAAAATCTAGCAAGAATTAAACACATGAGAGTGCTAACAATGCAATTTTTCCATATAATTAATGTTTCCAAGGGGCATAACTCTTTGAAAAATAATTGATCAAGACTAATTTTCTAACTCGTCCAAGACATTGCTGATATAAACCTATGATATAAGTTTCATAAAAATCTGGCAAGAATTGAACAAATGAGAGCACTAACGATGCAATTTTCAAGGAGCATAACTCTTTAAAAAATAATTGATTGGGACTGATTTTCGAACTCCGATAAGAAATTGCTGATATAAACCTATGATATATTAGTTTCATAAAAATCTGGCGAGAACTGTACACGTGAAAGTGCTAACAAGACTGGATGGACGGACGTCCGATATTATTATGTCACGTGTTGCGTGGGGGACAAACAGCGGCATAACTCTAGAACGGTAACTGACTCACTGCCCAAATTCGATCTCTGTCTGCGTGTTATAGTTTTTAGCATCAATGAGACATCAATCCAAATGCTGTGATTAAATGACAATCAACTGTTTGCTATCAACATTAAATTCCAAAATGACAACTACAAAAATAAAGCAATAACTAATGTCTTGTGACAAGCACACAAACATATGATCATTTCTGATATATAGTGATTGCTGTGTCGTTTCTCCTGTTCATATAGTTATGATCATTATTTATCAGAGGCAGATTTAGGGGGGAGGCAGGGGCCTGGGCTCCCTTTTATGGTGCTACATTTTGGTTAATGCAGACTTTTTACTTGTTCCACTCAAACTTTGCCTAGTTTCAGGGCCCCATGGGCCCCCGGTTTTCAAAATCCTGGATCTGCATCTGTTTATCCCCTTCTACAAAGGGAGAATTATAAATTTTACCACACTACACTGTTGATTATAATATTTATCAACTCAAGGTAGTCAAATTTTTCTTTTTTTAACATGGTAGTTGAAACTTAGAAATAAATGATTACCGAGTATTTTTAAAATTCTAAAATTTCACTATATGGCCTGTAATTACACCAGACAAATTTATAAAAATGCACATATAGTTAAAGATATAATTTTTTCCAAGATAGTTTCTTCATCAACAATCAACAATACTATAACACTGTAGAGAACCTGTGATTAAGATGAGGTTGGAACACCACAAAATCAAATGACTACTAATGGTTTATTTTAGTTTTGCGATGCATACTGAATTAAAAAGAAACCATTCAAATTCTGTTAATTAAATTCCCATTCTATCTGACCAGCTTTACATTAAATAAACTTCCGCAATTAATTATAGACAGATAATAAAATTGATCCTGACAGCTTTCCTGGGTGGCACTCTGGTAACCTTCACAAATCATTGTAAATAAAATGTATAAATAAACTAGCAAAACAATTTATACTTTATTTTGTACATACAATTCATTAATTTTTACAATTCAAGTAAGAATATATAATGTATTAGATATGGATTATATATTTAAGTAGTACCATGACGTATTATCACCAGGCATATCCTACTTTCAAATATTAAAGTCTGATGACTGACTTCAAAAACATGATACATATCTCCTTTTGTTGGTATCAATATTTATGTTAGTTTTCTTAAAGACCAAAATATTACAAATATCAACACATCAGACTTATATAGTTATATTTTTAACTAAACTATGAGAAAAATAAGTATTTAACAAAAACCAATCAACAAAAGTGTAAAGGAAATTTTCATAAGGTATTATTTTAATCAGCAAGATATAAATTATCAAAGGTAAATGGTGCTTTCAGAATAAAAGAGTATTTTAAAAAATGCTTTTTTGATTGACTAAACTTCATTGGACAAATTACCCTATATGCAATAACAGTTTTGAATTTTTGCAAACCCAAATGCATAACCAGTAAGCGATACATTTCATCAACATATCACAATGTGATCAATAAAATAATATTTCATATGTAAACAGTATCAATAAATACAGATCTGGTTTATAAAGCAACACTATGCAGATCATTACATGTAAGCACTAATGATATATAAAGCATTTTTTAAACATGAGCCACCTACATGAAATTCTCTGTATTAATCATTCATGAAAAGTTTTTTAAGGAAGGGAAACAAAAAATATCTTAAAAATATCTAGAGACTCAGGTTAACATTGACAAGTAATTCATACTTTTTTTAACAACTGTCTCTCTTACAACAAATATGTGACAAGTATAGGAAAAGAGCCTTTTTAGAATATTCCAGTGTGAATTTCTACAAATCAATCTGATTAGAATTGAATTCTCATCTCCCTTTTCTATCAAGACCATTTTATGGCAAGGAGACATATACATGTATAAGGTTGATTTTAGCATATAATTTTGCATAATGAAAATCTTGATTAAATGTGGCTCATGCTTAGAATGATACAAATAAGGTTTAAAAATATCAAAATAATATATAAAGCTTATTCAAAATACTAGTAAAAAATCTTGAACAGCTTTTTAGCATGTAAAATCTAAATTATGCCACTGAATTTTGACACATACAAAAAAGATTAAAGTTAATAAAACATAAATAACATTTTTTATTTCATGTCAGAATTGACTAGAACAAACTTGCATTGATAATTATTTCCTTTAAATATGACACTAAAGTTAATCTATTAATATAATCAAAAACCAAACAATTTTTAAACTGCATTACAAATGAACTTTAAGTTTGTTATTATTTTATAAAGTAAATTCAATTAATGAATTTTCAACGGTATTTTTAAACGGAGAGTAATTATATAATGTAAATCAGATGCAAAAAAAAAAAAAAATTCAACCAGAAATAAATGTGTGTATATCAAAGTCTACTACTTAATAAATCAAACTGTATATTCAAGTGTATAATACCGTGTTTATGGCAAGGGTTTTATCTAGAATGACAAAAAGGTTAATAAAGCTTCCTTTTCCTTTCTTCTTTTCTTAACTAGTTGTGAAAGTTGAAATATGTTAAACAAACATTTTTTTCATTCAACATGAGATTCAGTCTTATTTTACAAATTATTTTCATAATTCCCCCTTTAAAAACTTCTTATCAGAGCAGATTAACCTAAAATTATCAGTGTAGTAGTACTACCTCTAAGTAAAATGTCTTCTCAAATTTGGTTTTGACTTCACTTCTGTCATTTCAACCTTCATCAGATATATACAACCTTCAAAATAAAAATATTACAAACATGTCCATGATTGTAAGTGGCTACAAGCTTAGGTATGCCTAACAAACATGTAAAAACAACATATGGCACTGTCATACATATTAATTTCTAAATTTAAAATATCAAGAATAATCAGTTTTAATAGAACTGTATGAGATTCAAATCAATTTTATTTTTAAATACTGTATTATCGCAGGGTCGAATATTGGGAAGGATACAGATAAAATTTACCTCCCAACTCCCAACTTACCCAAAGATGTTCATGAAAATGACCTCATGATACATTTTAACAATAAACAAAAACATTGTGGACGTCACAGCTACCCCAAACAGCACGCTGAAGTCTCACTTTCTCACCTTCACTAAGGTAAAAATTATAGATCTAGGCAAGTCTTTATGTAGAACAAGTAACCCTTTCTTGTGTATATTTTACTTCAACATTAAAAAATACATATATATTTAAATAAGTGTACATTTACTTAAGTACTTTATACAATTGCATCTTGAAAAAGAATGTTGGGATTTAGTCATAAAGCAATATATTACTGATACAGAATAATATGCATGTATATTGTATGACACTGTCTTGATAATGAAGTGAAATAGGCTTCTAGTTCAAATATGGTTTGATGAATAAACCAGATTTAACTGTATATGACAATGACACATTGTAGACCTTTATATACATTATCATTTTAAATACATTTTAAATGTTTATAAAAATTATACTTCTACTGCTATGCAATTATGGCAAGATGTCATACTTTGTACAAACATGACATATGTGTTATTGTGTATCTGTTTACAAAAGCACTATTTTTAACATTTCAAGAAAATAAAAATACATGTACATTTGTAATAACAATTCAGCTGCTTGCTGGTGGACTAGAATTTCTTTCACTACCAGAATCTGTACTGGAAGTCTTTTCAGATGCAAGGTGGTTGACTTCAGCAACTACATCAATGGTGCGTACAACAATCGGCTGTCTGTCTATTCTTGTTATATCTTCTATCCCATGTTTCCTAAGTAAACCTCGCAACAGTTCTATTTCCTGTTCTTGTGCCGTGCAATATTCACGATATTTCGTCAGTTCCTGTTCACATGCCTGCCGTAATCGTTTTTCTCTCTGTAATTTCTTTTCTGCTTGTTTCTTTACTGTAAGTACAATGCCTACAAAGATAGAATATCATATAAATCAAACTGTTCATAAACGGCATGAGCCATCATTGTTTATGCATGTACAATTGTCTCTTACTATTCCTTCTGTGTAATTTTTATTTCAAATACAGTATAAAAGTAAGGAGATGTGGTATGATTGCCAATGAGACAATCATCTACAAGAATTCAAATGACAAAAATAACAGCAATTATAGGTCAAAGTACGACCTTCAACAGTGAGAAAAACCTGTAACGTAAAGTCAGCTTTAAAAGGTCCTGACATGAATAATGTGTCTTTTTCTTTGGTGACATATTCTGTTATATTGACTTATAGCTGGCTGCTTAATATCAGGTAAAAAATAAAACATGCATACTGTAAATTCAGAAATTTTTGGGTGCATTTATCATGTTTATCATTGCAATTCATGAAGAATGGACAAAAATGTGACATAAAATATAGTGATTTCAATAAATGCTGCATACAAATAATAATATTGGAAATTAAATGCGTATTTTATTATTTCACTTCTTGTTAAAGTAGAGATATAAATGTACATATGTATATAAAACTAGATGATAAATGTATCAGCAAAATCACTGTTACAGAAAGTGGGCTAATGAAATACAAAAATTTAAGACAGTTAGAAACAAATTAATAAAATAATCAGGGTCCCACAGGGGGCATTTACAATTGTAAAAAACATTGAAATTTGACGATCCGCCATTTTTGTCAATGAAAACAAATCAGCGAGGCACGATTAGTATTCAAATTTCTACGGTGCGGAACCAAAAAAATCTGGAATTTGAAAAAAAAGCCGACCACCTCCTAAAATGGAAAGGTGGTCGGCACACCCGGCTTAAATGCCGAATGGAAAACACTGAAAACCACAAGATTTCACATCCACGAAAAAAAAAGATGTTTCTACAATGTTAAAAAAAGATGAGCAATTGATTTTGTTCTGTTTTTCTATATCTTAACCGTGCTTAGCTTCTGAATTCCTCTACCAACTTTCAGACTTTCTACAGAACTGTTTACTGAGGGTAATCCGAAGATGTGAGAGTTGAGCAGTATTTGTTTGCCTTTTTCGAGGACCTATTTCTATATGGTTACTCAAGGATTACTCATGGTATAGTACTATATAAATCCTTGTGTTAATCTGTCATTTTTAACATTATGATCTTGTTGATTTGATCATGTTGATTGGTTGCAGTAAAAGGTCATTTCATTCAGTGCTTTAAGTGTGCATTGTTGTGTGGAAATTTTAATGTTGTTTCCTCTTTATTATTGTGGTTAGGTCATACATGTATCTTAACTATTCCATTGTATTCACATAAAGTTAGTTACACATGCAAAAGAAAATTCAAGTAAATTACCATTCAGTATCCTTGTGACTCTCCATAACCTGAGTACAACCAGCAATCCTAGTCCACTTTCGGGACCCTCGTTTTTTCTGAACACAATGTCAAGGACAAATGAGACAATCACAATAATAGCATCAAACATTTCCAGTTTGTGTTTGAAAAACTTGAGTCTTAATGCGTAAATGCGTATTATAATTTCTATTATGAATAAGGACAAGACAGCTAAACTGCAGTAGTGGAAAACCATGGGTGCAACGTTTGTATCATGGTTTGGTAGAGTGATTATTTCCATGTCAATCAACAGTTCTGCTATCACAAAGAGACAGTCTAAAATAACTAAACACACGATCACAATTTGGAATTTACTTGTGTTCAGCACATATTCAACTTTCTCACGGAATGTTTTCAGGTCAGTTTTTGCATCATCAGAGTCTGACGTAATGGAACTATTTGTATCTTCTTTGTCAATAACCTTCTCAAGGTCATCATAAATTTTGTGAAATCCATCCATTTGAATCTGTAATGTAAATAAAAACAATTATTCAAATCTTTAATTTGAAGAACCTACATGTTGGATTCATTGATAATTTGCTTTAGTCCTTAAATTATATGCATGCAATATTTGTCACTGGACATTAAGCAAACTACACAATGCACAATCAATCAAACATATCATATAAACACAAATTTAGAAGAAGGCATTTTTGTCAATAAGTTCAACCTGTAATTATATGCACCAATCTTGAGGTTTTTTTTTATGAATGGGTTACACTGCTTGACTCAAATCAATAGGCGTAAAACAACATCATCGAACAATTGCTTCCTACTGTGACGTTATAATATAAGCATTGTGACATTTACAGAAAAGTGCATGATTTCAAAAGTTGTCTTTTTAATTGTTGTTCACTGTTTTGAACAGGACATTGAACTCCTGTAATGCTACAAGTAATTTCATACAGTATACTTACTATGCTATAGAGCTAACAGTACACATTGAACAAAATCTGGGTCTATTGGCCCTGATTCATGTTTGCCCTAGTACCTGTTTGCCCTGGGTCATCACCCTAATACCTGTTCGCACTGAGTCCGTTCGCCCTGATTCTTACTTCTATTTTGTTGTCTTGTTGAATAATGGTATGATACATAATGATTATTTGAAAATTTGTTGAAGTGTGTGTTGAAAATTTCGTCGAATATTCATGTTGTATTGCTGCAATCACATAATTGTTTTCTTTTGATTCACACTGTTAAAGTGCACAGGAGTACAAGGTATTTAATATAAAACAACTGAAAACCAAGTTTGGGTTTTTTTTATTGTTTTTTTTTCTCTTCTCTTTTACTTCTTTCTTTTCTATTTAAATGTTTTATCAAGTTATCTGTGTGTCAAGTGTTTATGGATGAATGAATTGATTCCATAATCAGCTGATAATCCACTTAACAAATTTGTCACTGCACGAAAACACACGTACACTTGAGATCAATAGAGCCAAGTTGCAAAAATAAATTCCCTTAGAATTCACACTTTTGTTTTTACTCATAATCATTCCAAGCTGACTACTTTACTTCTAAAAATGTTATTTTCATTATTAAACCACAAAAGACAATACAACAATAAGTGAGATCAAAGACATCATAATTATACCTCATTAGCAGAAAAATTAACAGTCATTAAAAATATTCTAAATACAAACAAATGTAACAATGAAACCAATCATTGCTTGAAAAAAAACAATTAATTTCATTTTTCCAAGTTTTTTTCACGAATTTTGACAGACATATAGCATGTAATTTGAGTCTCTGATTTTGAGATACACATGTACATTTTTTGTAAATGTATTTTTCTTTAATATTTATCAAATAAATATTTGCATAGGTATATAAAAACCTACATTGTAAATACCATTACTATGAATGATCAAGGATTTGTATAGCATTGTATCTTACTATACAAATCCTTGGAATGATGAATGAATATATTTTTAATATAAGAGTGAACACTCTATGGGCGAACAAACCCAGGGTGAACATGTAATTAGGGCAAACGAACCCAGGGCGAACATTTAATTTGGGCAAACAGACCCAATACCCATTGAACAATACACAACAATGACAATTGTACTGTGCTTTATGTGAAGAACATTCTGAAATCCTAAATTTTATCTTCTTGAATAAGTGAGAGAAAGGGAGTTTCTGTCACAGTTATTAAAAGTTGTCAAATAATTATACGATTTTAAACTTACAAGTTTCATCTCCTTGTGTTAATGTCTACACTCTTGTAACACTGAAATTTTTTTATGATCCGCCCCCTAATTTAAGTGTCATTCTTTGTCTTGCGAACTAAAGTCGTAAAGACTTTTTAGATAAAGTCGCATTTACCTTCATCTTGATACTGTATTACTTCAAGTCTTTAGAATAGTCTTCCTACATCTGACCACTTCTTGAGAACATTGCAATTGATAAACAATGTCCTACTATTAAATCCTCGCCCTGATTGATTCTGCACGCTGACTTTTGTTTGATCGCAGGGTCAATGACACCCACTTTGTTTACAATTTGCTGCTTTTGTAGTTGCTTCCCGCTTTGTCGAGATTTAAAACAAAGTACATTTCTTTTTTAAACTTTCTTCCAAAAGTCTTACGAATTTAACATAACTTGAAAAAAATATAAATAAAATTCTTTTGTTTATTTTCCTTAAAAAATTTACTAAAATTGAAACTGATTATCGGACGCGGGATTAAATTTCCGGAGTGGAAACTGTAGGCCTGTTTTTTATACTCAAACTTGTGAATGGTTAAAACAATCTGAAATATGTTTAAGCAGAGACATATAATACAATATTATATGTCTCTGGTTTAAGCTACAAGTCCTACAACGGTTGAAGAAAAATCTTTAAGGTTTAAACCATTTTGAAAATATCTAAGGCCTGTTTTTTATACTCAAACTTGTAAATGGCAGTGGCGGATCCAGAAATTTTCATAAAGGGGGGGGGGGGGGCACTGACTGCCTAAGAGGGGGCCGGCTCCAGTCATGCTTCAGTGATTTTCACATAATCAACCAAATTTTTCCCACAAAAGGGGGGAGAGGGCCGGGTAAGCTGGTCCTCGACTGACTACTACACTTTGTTCATAGAATATCGGACTTTACTTTTTTCAAAATATTTCAGGACCCCCACACATGATCAGTCAAAATTGCTCTATCTTAGTAGGTCCAAAACTATTTCAGGATTTGGTCCTTAATATTTATCGTCCAAATTCAAACCGGACGATGCTGCGTATATCTATACATTTCGTACAGCCAAACGGACCCTCCACTATAGCAAAGGTTACTCAAGGTCGGACTGTTGGACCGTCAGAAATCCGCGGGGTTATCATATTTTGATACCTCAGTTTACCCTTAGGTCCAGTAAAGTTTCATATGTGACTTGTTAAATAGAATATATCGCCCCACCCCCCGGACACTACTACCTTAATCATACCTTGCATACAAACTGACCCGCGGACGAGACCTGGAAATTAATTTACTCGCTCGAGATTTTTTTCATGACCCGACAGGCCTTTGCAAAATGTATAAAACCAAAATTAAAACTTGACTACATGTATTTGATCATGCACACAGTGAAACCATGCAATAAATAACATACGATAGTGAAGTCTGGGGGGCTTTTGATTCAAAAAGTTAACTGACGTAGGAGATAGTTATTTTGCAAACTTATGCAAATAAAACAAATTTAGATAAACTTTTGCATGCACGTTTAAATGTTTTTGACCTTATTTATAAATTGCGGATTTTACTAAATTTGATAATGGCCAATTTTTGTAGCTTTTTTATAAACACATAACAAATGTTTACACATGTTCATATGTAAATTGTCTTTTTCAAGGTTTTTGCCACAGGCACTTTTCTCAGAAAATATGCTATATACCTTAATATAACACGTGTTATATTAAGGTATATAGGGAAAAAAAATTCCGAGAAAAGTGCCTGTGGTTTTTGCATTCAAACAATAAAATGGGATTCACGTTTATAGGTTTTTGCATCAAAACAATAAATGGGGTCCACTGTAATAGGGTTAAATACTGGAAAAATATACTGGACTCTAATGATGTAATACTGCTTACATCAATTATAGTAATCTCATGAATAATTGCTTGAGCAGAGCAAATCACCATGACCGGGAGGAAATATCTATTCACTAAAAACTTTCGAGTCCTTCGCCTAGATAAATATTCTTATAAATAACAAAAATATCAAAATTGTAAAAAAGTTTTTGAAATATAACCAAATTTTGATTTATGAGATATATTAATTTTCTGATGTGAGATATGGTAATACTTGAAAAACGAAATGCATACATATAGATTGTTTAAATCTTAATTTAAATTTGAATCTTATTTATATTTAAATAATGGACAAAGACTTAAATAGATTATAAATAACAATTTAGAGATACAAAAACTCAGTTGTGAAGGATAGACATTTTAGATTACAAATGTATATACATTTTGCAAAAATGAAATTGAAATAAGCATGTTATGGTTCACTTTTATAAATTTTTACTTGGATGGAGAGTTGTCTCATTGGCACTCATACCACATCTTCTTATATCTATGTATAGTAACTGGGAAACTCTATTAGCTCCATATAGCAAATATGAAAATAAACATCAGGGGTCGGTTTCACAAAAAGACTTACGACTAAGATTGATCGCAAGTGTACTGAATTGTTCATGACTTACGATCAATCTTTGTGAAACCGACTCCCCGCATGGACTCCAGTCAATCCAAATCCTCATTTTAATCATTTTTACAAATCTAAATTTAACTTTGGTTATTCTGCCGATAATGAACGTTTGTTTGACAGAAAATAGAACTTGAACTTAACACAGTATAAGGAATACTACCGTTTTCAAAATATTATTACCTTCCACTAGAGGCTCATATAGCTGTCAGAACTCATAAAATGTCCCAAAAAAGTCCTTGAGGGGCAAAAAAAGATATCGGAAAAAAGTCCATGACATAATTTTTTCAATCTGCAATTTTTTTTGTCATACATTTGTATGTTGTCATGTAACGGACCTTTCTTATGAAACCTATACCCCTAATGGGCCTCTAAATTGCATCAGCCTTTGGTTACCCTGATTGGTAAACATGTGATTCCGACAGTAGGGATTTTCCAAAGTCATTTTCTAAAAATACACACCGGAAACAGTATACGACCAATAAAAACTGATAATTGTAGATACGTCAAAATGAAACTAGCCAATTAGAAATTACCACATCAGCTTTACAACGTAGACAGAAAAGAAAACAACAATGACTTAGCAATGAAGAATAATATTTTGTCGACTTCGACGGCTAATTGACCACATTTTCCTTACAAATGGTTACTACGAAAGACATTATGTCAGGGAATACAACACGAACGATTGTTATAACCACATCTAGTGGAAATGTTCCAAAATTGGTGACCGTCAACGCCTCTGCTGTCGAAGACATTTTCAGTGATGATGGGGGAGGGCCACGTAAACGGCGTCGGCTGACCAACCTTACCCCGGAGGAGAAAATGCTGAGAAGGTATGCATCCTTTCATTCCTTTGTCTATGATATTTAATTTTTATAAATGACAAATCCATAATGAAGTTGTAATAACTGTGCATATGGAACACAGCTACAAACCCTACAGTACAGCCTGTACAGACACATCATGAAAAACCTAATAAAGTACTAATCAATATATATTGACAGAAAGAGCCTGTTATATATGGGAGGGAAATATTTTGCATTTTATGAAATAAAAAACATGATTTGATACACCTACATAGCAAATTAATAATATTTATATTTAATAGTTACATGTATTACTATTATTGAGATGCTTTTGGAAAGGGGGTTTCTATCCGATCATTCCATCCAACTTCCATGTACAAAAAAATATCATACACCATGTATTGTCTTAAAATGACTATTATTGGTTAACACAAATGGAAGCTTCCTTGGGGGTCTCATGGTTGCATGTTCTGTTGAAGATCATTGCCAGGTCAACCCAAAGACATGAAAATTGATATTTGCTGCATCTTTGCTAAGCACACAACATTGAGTCATTGAGCATCTGATCAGTTTGATATTCTATTAATATCCAGAAAGGATGACATGTCTTCCTGCCAATGGTTTCCATGTTTAAGTAGCACATTTAAAATATGGCTCTGACAGTGTGTAGGTTTATGTAATTAGTTCAAAGCTAGATTTATATTCCTGTCTTATTAACATTTTGCTTGTCTTGAAGCTGCATTTAATTTTCTATTGAACATTAGACAACCATCAATGCATCAATACAAATGGTGTTTATTATCTGGCATAATCTGCAGTATTAAATGCAGGAAAATTAGTGAATAAGTTCCAACATGTCCAAGTTCACTTTAGAATTGATCATTATAACTGTAATACAGAATTTTGAAATTATTTTACATGTTTATAATTGATTTTCATTGTTACCTTTATTTTAGAAAACTAAAAAACAGAGTAGCAGCACAGACAGCAAGAGATAGAAAGAAAGAATTGATGGGTACTCTGGAACAACAAGTTACTAGACTGATGGAACAAAATAAACGACTCCAAGATGAAAACAAAAAACTCAAAACACAATCATCATCATTAATTCAAGAAAATCAACACCTTAAAGAACGCCTGGGCCATCCTGGTTCATTGGCCGAGAGAAAGTCTGAGTCCACAGGATCTGCAGTATCCTTTGACCTCCTGCCGTGGGGACAAACTCAGACGTTGTCTCGGTCAATGATGCCATACGCCACCTCTGTTCTGACAATGAGGTAGATATCTTTATATTTTTTCAATTACTTAAAAAACTTTAGCTAATTAAGAAACAGAAAAATTACAAGTTATTATATTTTATATTTAAAACAATTAGAATATATTGTTGTCATTATTTGATACTAATCAAACACAAAAAAACATGCTATGCATTAATTTTACACGGCAAAGATGACTTGTAACATGTATACTGTGTTTGTGGTGTCTGATTTTAATTTGCAATTGTAAGAAGGGAAAAGGAGACACTCATAATTATTTTTTTAACAAACAGGAAAGCTTTCAATGTTCCTCTTCAACATCATCATATTTCATATTCAGATTTACTTCCCTTGCTTTAAGTAAAGAACTAGAAAGTATAATATACACATGTGGTTTTAGTCTTAATCATTTAAAATTCATTTTCTACATGCTTTAAACAGAGAGAAAGATATGAAGTACATGGATTAACATTTTTGGAAAAAACACACTTGATCACAGAAAAGTGCATTTAATGCTTGAAAAAAATTATTTAAAAAAAATGTAAATTAGCTAATGAACACTTCTTTTGTCTTTTCAGTCTCTGCTTAGCATTGTTCAGCAGATCAACTCAAAACCAGAAACAGATGTTGCCAGTAAAGGATGTGAATCTTCAATCATCACTGCCCAAGGAAATACCCCCAAAATCACTGCCAACTCTGGCTTGGTGGGGCCCACATCAGCGGAGTTGGAATCCATCAATGAACTCATAAAATTTGATCATGTTTATTACAAGCATGAGTCCTCATCTGTTGAAACTGGACTTGAAAAACCTACTCAAGCTGTCAAAACGAACTCTCAAACTAAAGTGAATATTCATGTCACACAGGATATACCTAATGACATTACAATAGACGATTCGGTTAAAACTGAACCTGAATTATGTGCAATAGACATGATAGATGAAACTGACCTCAATGATATCAATTTGGAATTATTAAAAGACATTGAAAATTTAATTGGAATAGATTTTCAAGACCAGATTGAACAGGACTCTTTTGAGTCTATTTCACAGAATGGACAATGTGTAAAAAGCAAACAGGAAGTTTTAGTGACAAAAGACACTAGTTCAAATCGTAAACGCAAGAGATCAGAAGATGCGTCACCGCTTTCTGTCACAGATATGTATGAATCAACAGACAAATTGGGACAGGAAGCATCTGTATTTAATGATTCAGAATTCGGTAGTGATTTCAGTGATGTGTGTTCTCCCTATGGAAGTGACATTTCTGGTGACTTAAATGACAATCCATGGGAAGAATCATTCATGGAATTATTTCCCACCTTAGCATAAACCAGCCATTTTGTTTGTTGATTTGTATTTAAATGTATATATTATTTATTGTTTATCATTGACTTCTCTGTGAAATAAATTCATTGGGAAGAGGACTCAATTTAATTTTTGTCTTTTTAATCTTTGAACACGAAAAAATTATTTTACATAAATGACAGAAGTTAGAAACAAGAGTGCACATGCTGAAATGTCTCGCCTGTTTTACTGACCATTGATTTTATGTTGAAAGTCTTAAAGGTTTTACTACAAGTATCTCATAAACTTAACATTTTTAAAGATCCATGACAATGAAGTCAAGGTCAGATAAAAACTGTCACACAGACATGTACACCTTACAATTATTCCATACACCAAATATAGTTGACCCATTGCTTATGGTAATTGAAAAACAGACCAAAACACAAAAACTTAATGTTAACTGATGAACCGTAGAAATGAGGTCAAGGTCAGATGATTCTGGCTAGACAGACAGGTACACCTTACAATCATTTCTTACCAATAATAGTTGACCTTTTGCTTTTAGTATTTGAAAAACAGATCTAAACACAAAAACTTAACAATGACCAATGAACCATGAAAATGAGGTAAAGGTCAGATGAAACCTGCCAGTCTGACATGTACCCCTTACAATCATTCCATACACCACATATAGTTGACCTTCTGCTTGTAGTATCTGAGAAACAGACCTAATCACGTAACTTTAACCTTGATCACTGATCCATGAATTGAGGTCGAGGTCGGGTTAACCCTGTCCGACGGACATGTAGACGTTGCAAGGAACCCATATCCCAAATATAGTTATCCTATTACTCATAATAAGTGAGAAATTCACATGACGAAAAAACTTTTTTTTCCAGCAGTCACTGAACCATGAAAATGAGGTCAAGGACGATGGGCATATGACAGACGGAAACATCGTAAGATAAGGTATCTGCATACAAAGTATGAACCATCCAGGTCTTCTACCTTCTGAAATATAAAGCTTTATACAAATAGTTTACGCCGCCTCCGGATAGTTATAACTAAGTCTCACATACAGACAAAAATTAATGTTTTCATGTAAATTGTATAAAATAAAATTGAGAATGGAAACGGGGAATGTGTTTAAAGAGACAACAACCCCACCAAAGTGCAGAAAACAGCCCAAGGCCACCAATGGGTCTTTAACACAGCAAGAAAATCACGCACCTGGAGGGGGGCATCAGCTGGCCCCTTAACAATAATGTATACTAGTTCAGCAAAAATGGACGTCATACTAAACTCCAAAACATAAATGAATCAAATTTAAAAAAACATACAAGACTAACAAAGGCCACATACATTGTAGCAAATCCTGCATCAACACAGACAATACAACAACAAACTAGAGGCTCTCAAGATCTATCAAGATAATAACCAAAAACTGCAAAATTTACGAAAAATTACCAATTAAGGGGCAGCAACCCCACAATCGGTTGTCTGATGCATCTGAAAATTGCAGGGCAGATAGAGCTTGACCTGATGAACATTTTTACCCAGTCAGATTTGCTCTAAATGCTTTAGTTTTAGAGATATAAGCCAAAAACTGCATTTTACCCCCATGTTCTATTTTTATACGACCACAAAAATTAAAAATTTTTTGGTCGTATATTGGTATGACGTTGGCGTCGTCGTCGTCGTCGTCCGGCGTCGTCCGAAGACACATTGGTTTTCGCACTCTAACTTTAGTTTAAGTGAATGGATCTCCATGAAATTTCACCATAAGGTTCAATACCACGAAAGGAAGGTTGGGATTGATTTTGGGGGTTATGGTACCAACAGTTAAGGAATTAGGGGCCAAAAATAAGCATTTTTGTAACTTTCAGACAATAACTTGTGTGTAAGTGTATGGATCTCTCTGACATTGTACCACAAGGTTCCATATCACAAAGGGAAGGCTGTAATTGATTTTGGGGGTAATTGCCTCAAAATTTTAGGAATTAGGGGCCAAAAAAGGGGCAAAAAACAAGCATTTTTCTAGTTTCATGACAATAACTTGTGTGTAAGTGTTTGGATATTTCTGAAATTGTACTACAAGGTTCCATATCACAAAGGGAAAGCTGGAATTGAGTTTGGGGGTAATTGCCCGAAACGTTTAGGAATTGGGGGCCAAAAAGGGGCCAAAAATAAGCATTTTTGTCGAGCCTTCGACTAATGTCGAAAAAGCGAGACATAGCGATCCTACATTCCGTCGGCGTCGTCGTCGTCGGCGGCGTCCACAAATATTCACTCTGTGGTTAAAGTTTTTGAAATTTTAATAACTTTCTTAAACTATCCTGGATTTCTACCAAACTTGGACAGAAGCTTGTTTATGATCATAAGATAATATTCAAAAGTAAATTTTGTAAAAAAAAAATTCCAATTTTTCCGTATTTTACTTATAAATGGACTTAGTTTTTCTGCCAAGAAACATAACATTCACTCTGTGGTTAAAGTTTTTGAAATTTTAATAACTTTCTTAAACTATCCTGGATTTCTACCAAACTTGGACAGAAGCTTGTTTATGATCATAAGATAATATTCAAAAGTAAATTTTGTAAAAAAAAAAATTCCATTTTTTCCGTATTTTACTTATAAATGGACTTAGTTTTTCTGCCAAGAAACATTACATTCACTCTGTGGTTAAAGTTTTTGAAATTTTAATAACTTTCTTAAACTATCCTGGATTTCTACCAAACTTGGAAAGAAGCTTGTTTATGATCAAAAGATAGTATCCAGAAGTAAATTTTGTAAAAAAAAATCCATTTTTTCTGTATTTTACTTATAAATGGACTTAGTTTTTCTGCCATGAAACATTACATTCACTCTGTGGTTAAAGTTTTTGAAATTTTAATAACTTTCTTAAACTATCCTGGATTTCTACCAAACTTGGAAAGAACCTTGTTTATGATCAAAAGATAGTATCCAGAAGTAAATTTTGTAAAAAAGTAAAAAATAAATTCCATTTTTTCCGTATTTTACTTGTAAATGGACTTAGTTTTTCTTCCAGTTAACATTACATACAGTCTGCACTTTAAGTTTTTAAAACATTTATTAGATTGATAAACTATCCTGGATTTTTACCAAACTTGGACAGAAGCTACTTACAATCAAAAGATAGTATAGAGAGGAATATTTTTATTAACTTTTTTCCTCATTTTTGTTGAGCCTGCGATTAACAGCAAAAGTAGGCGAGACACTGGGTTCCGCGAAACCCTTACGAATTTTTCTAGTTTCCAGACAATAACTTGTGTTCAAGTGTATGGATCTTTCTGAAATTGTACTGCAAGGTACCATACCACAAAGGGAAGGCTGGGATTGAGTTTGGGGTGATGAATCATAAGGGGGTTAAAAAAAATTGGGGGGGGGAGGATTTTTTTTTCTTTTTTTTTTTCTTTTTATTCCTTTTTTTTTTCTTTTAAAATTTTCCATTTTAAGTTGGTTATTTCTGATTTATATTTAAAAGCAAATAATAATGATATGGTAGGAGATACACACCAAACAGGATGTGTAAATTATTATATAATAAGTATTGTGCAATAGCAAGAAATTTTCAATTGCACAGTATTGCACAATAGCAAGAAATCTTCAATTGCACAGTATTGCGCAATAGCAAGAAATCTTCAATTTAACAGTATTGCGCAATAGCAAGAAATTACCAATAGCACAATATTGCGCAATAGCAAGAAATTGTCAATTGTACAGTATTGCGCAATAGCAAGAAATATTCAATTGAACAGTATTGTGCAAAAGAAGATACTTCGTATAAATTGCTTATTTCTTGATCAATTTCAATGGGGTTTTATTCTTGAATTCTTGGGGTTCTTTAATATGCTGAATCTAACGGTGTATTAAGTTTTTGGATTTTGGGCCCCGTTTTTAAATTGGTCCACATTGAGGTCGAAAGGGTCCAAAATTTAACTTTGTTTGATTTCATCAAAAATTGAATTATTGGGGTTCTTTGATATGCCGAATCTAACCGTGTATTTAGATTTTTAATTTTGGGTCCCGTTTTTGTCGAGCCTGCGACTTTTGTCGCAGAAAGCTCGACATAGGGATAGCGATCCGGCGGCGGCGGCGGCGGCGGCGGCGGCGGCGGCGTTAGCTAACTTCTTAAAAGCTTTATATTTTAGAAGATGGAAGACCTGGATGCTTCATACTTTGTATATGGATGCCTCATGTTACGAAGTTTCCGTCAGTCACATGTCCAATGTCCTTGACCTCATTTTCATGGTTCAGTGACTACTTGAAAAAAAAGTTCAGATTTTTTGTAATGTTAAATTCTCTCTTATTATAAGTAATAGGATAACTATATTTGGTATGTGCGTACCTTGCAAGGTCCTCATGCCCGTCAGACAGTTTTCACTTGACCTCGACCTCATTTCATGGATCAGTGAACAAGGTTAAGTTTTTCGTGGTCAAGTCCATATCTCAGATACTCTAAGCAATATGTCTAGTATATTCGGTGTATGGAAGGACTGTAAGGTGTACATGTCCAACTGGCAGGTGTCATCTGACCTTGACCTCATTTTCATGGTTCAGTGGTTATAGTTAAGTTTTTGTGTTTTGGTCTGTTTTTCTTATACTGTATGCAATAGGTCTACTATATTTGGTGTATGGAATGATTGTAAGGTGTACATGTCTAGCTGGCAGGTGTCATCTGACTTTGACCTCATTTTCATGGTTCAGTGGTCAAAGTTAAGTTTTTGAGTTTTGGTCTTTTTTTCTAATACTGCATGCAATAGGTCAGCTATATTTGGTGTATGGAATGATTGTAAGGTGTACATGTCTAGCTGGCAGGTGTCATCTTACCTTGACCTCATTTTCATGGTTCAGTGGTCAAAGTTAAGTTTTTGAGTTTTGGTCTTTTTTTCTAATACTATATGCAATAGTTCAACTATATTTGGTGTATGGAAATATTTTATGATCTATATGTCAGTCACGCAGGTTTTATTTGACCTTGACCTCATTTTCAAGGTTCATTGCTCAGTGTTAAGTTTTTGTGTTTTCGTCTGTTTTTCTTAAACTATAAGCAATAGGTCAACTATATTTGTTGTATGGAAGAATTGTTAGCTGTACATGCCTGCCTATAGCATGGTTCAT